GGGCGCCGCTGTGCTCGGCAGGACCCTGGGCTCCCCGCCAGAGCTGCCTGCTGCAGCCCAGCCTGGTCGCGTGATGTGTGGCCCTGGCCCAGGCGCCAGCCGCCCAGCCAGCCGTCCACCCACCGTGCATGCAGTGGTGCTCCGTGTGGGCAAACCAGAAGTTCCAGAGCGCCTCGGCGTCCTTGTCGGGCATGCGCCTGAACCCCTGCTCATCCATCTCCTGCAGCGTCTTGCTGGGGCAGCTGCCGAGGTTGGGCTTCTGGATGTGCTGCAGCGGCAAAGGGGCAGGCAGGGCAGCGCAGAGCAGCGCGAGCACAGGCAATGGTTGGCAGGGCAGGGAGGACGGCACGGCCAAGGGCGTGTGTGTGGGCGCTTGCAGGCGGCAGGGCAGGATTCCAACACCAGCTAGCCCACCGGGCGACGATCAGGCCGCATGCACACAGGGCAGACCTTGGACTGGCAGGCGCCGCCCCACTCACAAAGCGCGTGTTGCGTATGTTGGATGCGCTCTTGATGATCTCTGTGGCCAGCATGATGGTGTTGCGGCGCCTGCCCCCCGCCATCACATCCTTCCCGCGCTGCACGTAGAAGCCCGACAGGTGCCTGCGCCCCGGCTCCTGCTCCTCCAGCTTCTCCTCCACCTCGTTCCTGCAGGTGGCAGCGAGTGTGCGCACGTGTGCGCGTGTGTGGCGCATGTGTGTGTGGTGCATCTGGCTGGAGGGTGGATGCGCCACGTGCTGCGCGCTCTGCCTCGCGCTGCACCCGCAGCCCGCCCAGCCCCTAGCTCCGCAGCCAGCCAGGCGGCGCAATCGGGCAGGCAGCGCAGCCAGGCAGGCCCCGGCCTCACTTGAATGCCAGCGCCGCCTCCCAGGGCAGCCCCCTGTCCAGGCTGAGCTCCACGTGCTGCACCTCGCCGCCAGAGGTGGCGTCCCGGTAGATGGGACGCTTGCTCACTACCTTGCAGCTGCGGCCCTGCAGGCGGGTAGGAAGGGGAGGAGCGACAGGGGCAGGGCCAATGGTCAGGCCGCATGCAGGCGTCAGCGGCCCGGGCTGGCACACAGCCAAGCGCCAGGGGAGAGTCCCGCGCCTGCCGCCCCACCGGCAGCGAGGTGCCCCGTCGCCTCCCTCCCCCGCCCAACGCCCCACCATTGACCCCCCACCGCGTGCCCCCTCCCTCTCACCTTGATGGTCACGATGCCCGAGTCGAACTTGCCCTCCGACTTGAGCTGGGCCACGGTGGCGTCCAGCGTGTCCTGGAAGTACTGGAACAGCAGCTCCTGGTCCACCTGGGGGAGGGCACAAGGAAGGCAGGCAGGAAGAAAGGCAGGCAGCAGTGGGTATGGTGGTGTGTGGGCTTGTGCGTGCGTGCGAGGGCGTGTGCTTGATGTGATGGCTGGGGGTGCCGGCAAGAGCAGGGAGCAGGTCCGAGCCCGGACAAACGGCCGGCACGGCGGCGCATGGCGCTGCGCGGCCTGCCCGCCGCCTGGCTGGCATGCCGGGGCAGGTGTTCTCCTATGCAAGGCCAGGCTCACCATGGGCAGTCCCAGCAGTCGGTTGAGGAAGCGGGGGATCTTGACCTTGGCCTTGGCAGAGGGCACCAAGATGCGCCCCGTCCCCTCGCCACCCTCCTCCAGCACACCGATGCTGAGCTGCAGGGGGCGGGGGCAGGACCGACAGCTGGTTTGCTGAGAGGGGTGCCCTGCGGGCGGGCACACATGCGCCAGCACCGGCACCGGCACCACAGCACGCCCGGCTGTGCCCGCCTGGCCTCCCCCACACCACGACACACCCCTCCCCTGCCCCACCCCAGCCCTTGATCCTCACCAGCTTGGTGCGCATGTACTTGAAGAAGGGAGGGGTGGCCTCCCTGCCAGACCGCTCCATGAGCTCATCCATGCCAGAGGTGTGCAGGAACTCCGACTCAGCCAGCTCTGGCGGCAGCTCGGGCACCTGCAGGGGGACGGCAGGGGAGGGTGGCGGAGGCCAGGATCGCAGGAGGGCGCAGGGCGAGAGCAGGCCGGGGATCCACAACACCTCCCCCCATGGCTAGAAACCAAGTCCCTGGCTTGCAGCTGATGCCAGTCCCTGCCAGCCCCGGCTGGCCACCTCCCCACGCACCCTCCCATGTCCATGCCAGCATCCCCGGCAGCAGCCCCCACCACCCTGTCCCCCCTGCCCCGCCCCCCACCTTGACCCCGGGCATGGGCTTGCTGCCGTGCTCCCCGCAGACGTCCTGCAGCACCCGCAGCAGTGCCTTCTCGCCGTGCGCGTTGTCGATGTCGAAGCCCTTGAGCTCGGAGCCGGCGCCGATGGCGTTACGGTCGCCGCGCAGCAGGGCGCCCAGGGAGGCCAGGCGCTGCGGGGAGGGGCGGCACGGGGCGGTAGCACGGGAGGAGGTGAGGTGGCGGGGCACTGGCGGGCAGCAGGGGCCACACGTGTGCCGAATGGCTGGGTGGCTGCCTGGGCGATGGCACCGTGTCGGGTGGCATGCGTGCGTTTGCGGCGCAGCAGCCACGCAGCCCTGCTGCCCACCCACGCCCACCTTGGCTGCGGCAGAGGCGAAGCGGTACTCCCCGCCCACGGGTACCGTGAGGATGCGGTACAGCGGGGCCGACACCTGGTTGGCGCGGTGGGAGCGGCCAAACTGAAGGAGCGGGGGAGAGGGAGGCGGGGCAGGAGGATGGCAAGGGGTGAGGGACTGGAGGGAGATGAGGTGCGGCACAGCACGGCACCACAGGTCAGCACAGCACACATGGTGCACCAGGGCGCCGCACAGCAGGGCGCGGCAGGCAGCCTGGCCCCCACCTGCTGCACCGCCTTGTCAGCAGACCAGGGCAGCTCCAGGGTGATGTGGCAGCGCCGCCGCTGGTTGCCCACGCGCCGGTCGGCCTGCGCAGGGGGCAGGGGGAGGCGAGGAGGCACGGGGATACCTGGTGAGGAGGGGGACAGCGCCCACAGGCCTGCGCAGCACCGAGCGCAGCCTGCCAGCCCGCCAGCCTGGCCCGCCTCCCTCCCAGGCCCCGCATCGCCTCCCAGCCAGCCTGCCCGCCCACCCCCACCGCGCCCGCCCACCTGCAGCGAGATGCCTGTGGAGGCTGCGTCGCTGATGATGGCCACCAGCTTGCGCCCCTCCATGAACGCCTCCTTCTCCTGCACGGCAGCCAGGGGGCGGGCGGGCAGAGGCAGAGCAGTGGAGCAGGGGCGGGGCCGGAGCTGCTCACAACTGTCGTATGTTCGGGCAGCCAGCGCCACGCCCGGGCGCGATGTTGGCAAGCCCCACAGCAGCGCCCCTCAGATGCGCCAGGCTCTTTCCACTCACAGGCATGTGCACGCCCCTGCCTGCAGCCTGCCGGCCTGCCTGTGCGCCTCTATAGCCACCCCCCAGCAAGCTCACCCGCATGTTGACATCCTTCTGCGGCCCGTCCCCGCCCCGCTGCACGTACATGGCCCGCCCGCTGCCCTCATCCTTGGACACAAAGCCCTTGCGCCCTGCAGGCGGCAGGGTGGGGGGCCAGGCGGGCAGCGCGATCCAGCAAGAGCGTCAGCTGCCTTGACAAGCGGCACGGCTGCTCTGCGGAAGGGGGCAGGCGAGCCTGGCCGGGCGGCTGTGGCGCAGCCGCACAGCACAGCACAGCACAGCACAGCACAGCACAGCGCCTGCGCCACGTCACCCCCTGCCACCCACCCGTCAGCTCCGCCACATGCTGCTCGCCCCCCAGCAACTCGATGAGGTGGTCCAGCGGGTTGGGCGGCCTGCGGCTCGCACAGGGGGTGGGGGAGGCGGGGGGAGGGGGCAGCAGCAACGAGGGGTGAAGGCTGGTGGGAGTGCCAGCAGGGCGCCACCACGCTGCGCTGCCCCAGCCATGGCACAGCACAGACGAGGCATGCCCTCCTGCCACCCGCCCCCCCCCCTTTCTTCCTCACAGCTCCATGGCGTTGACGATGCGCAGCAGCCAGCCCCGCATGCGCAGCAGCTGGAGGGAGATGTCGGCGTTGGGGTCGCCCTCCTGGGCTGCAGGGGGTGGGGTGGGTGGGGTGGTGGTTTGGTTGGCCAGCACAGGGGCCATGTTGGAGCCGGGGAGCGTGGGGGTGCATGGCGCCCCGCCAGCATGCCAGCGGTCCAGCCCACGTCATTTCCGTCCCGTGCCCCCCCGCTGCCCCCGCCCACATCCCTGCTCCTAATGCTGCCGCACTCTGCCCCTGGTCGCCCATCCCCCTACGCGGTTCCTCCCACTCACGCTTGAAGTCCGGGCCCATGCCACCCAGATCAAAGGCGCCCTCCTCGGCCTCGGGCGCCCGCGCCTCTTGCGCCGCCAGCCGCGCCTCCTCCCGTGCCGCCAGCTGCGCCCCCATGCCCGCCGGCAGCTGCATGTCCGCCAGGCCGTGCACCTTGACGGCGTGGCGGTAGCCAGCCACCCCCCTGCTTGTCAGCTGCAGGTTGCGTACGGTTGGGTCGAAAGAGGTGCTGCCCGCGCGCGCCTGCGGCTGCGGGGAGGCAGGGTGGGGCAGGTGGGGAGGAAGTGTGAGGTGGTGATCGGCAGGGTGGTAAGGTAGGAGAGCCAGGTGAGACACCGCCAGATGTTTGGGATGGCAGCGAAATGCGGGACGGCAGCACGACGCAGCTGCCGACAGCGTGAAGCAGGCGGGCGGCAGATGCGACTTGCCTGCTGCCGGTGGCCCAGGCGGGGAGCGCGCTGGGGCGTTGGGGGCGGGCCCTCTGCCGTCTGCTCCTCGAAAGCCTCCAGCTCCAGCTCGGCTGCAAGACCATAAGGAAGGACAGCACAGCACAGCACAGCACAGCACAGCATGCAATCGGTGCTGGGGAGGATCGGCCGTGTGCAGCGGCAGCGGGTGGGGACAAGGGTGCAGGCATGCGCGGCGCCGCCGCACCCGTCCTCAGCTGGCGTTTAGCCGTCTCCAGCCGCCGCTCGGCAGCCAGCAGCTGCATCTTGCTGCCGGCGGTCTGCGGGGAGGGCCAGGGGGACATGCAGCCAGGGCAGGTTGGGTGCAGGGGTGCAGGCGCAGCCCGGTGTGGAGCAGGCCTGCAGCCCTCGCAAGCCCCGTTCCTGTGCAAGAGCACACCTGCGGCGCCACCCGAGGCGCGGAAAGCAAGCCTGCATCGTCTTCGCTGTCCGACAGGCCCGCCGCTGCCGTGCGCTTGTGCAGCCGCCCGTGCTGCTGCTGCTGCTGCTGCTTGGCCGCGCCTCCGGTCTTGCTGTTCTGTGCCGCGGAGCAGCCGGAGCAGAGCCAAGTGGTGGAGCAGGGCAGGCGGCGCAGGCCGGCGCACAGCGTGTGGCAGCCGCGGTCGCATCCGTCGCACAGCATCATGTTTTCCTCGTCGTCCTCACGACCGCAGATCTGCAGTGGAGGAAGAGCAAGCAGCATGGATGCCGGCACAGAGCAGGGCAGGGTCGCATCGCATGGCGGAGGGCCAGCCACGAGGCAGCATGCCTCGCCATGCAGGCACACGGCAGCCTCTGGCCAGAGAGCCAGACCTGCCCTGCCCTTCTACTGCCCCATGCACAGCCACCAATCCCACGTTGAAAACAAAGCAAAACAAGGCAGTTCACACACCATGCACTCAATGTCGTCGTCCAGGGTCAGGTCTATCTCCACAGGCTCCGCCACCAGGCGGAAGGCCAGCGGCGGCTGCCCGCCGGCGCCCGCGCCGCGCGGCGCCAGCGGCGGGCGCGCCGACAGCGGCAGCTCGTCGTCGGAGGAGGAGTCGCTGTCGCCGTCCAGCACCTGAGCGGCGGCAGGGGCAGCAGGGGGTGAGAGGCGCCAGGGGAGGGGAAGCAGCAGCAGGCTTGGGGGCAGGGAGGAGTGAGGAGGGGCGGGAGCTGAGCGCGCACCTGTCCGCGCAAGATGCAAAACTGCCACCAGACAGACATGCTCACCCGGCGGCGCGACGCGGGCGGGCGCTTTGCCGTGTGCCGCTGCGCCGCGTTCTCCTTGCCGCCGTCGCGCTCGTCCTCCGAATCCTCCAGCACAGCCGCCTTGCGCTTGGCGCTGCCGCCGCAGCCGCCGGCCCGTGCAGCCAGCGTCTGCCCCCCCTCCTCGTCGCTGCTGCTGGCCTCCAGGCCTGCCGTGGCGGCAGCCGGCGCGGCCTTGGCCTTGCCGTGCAGCCGCGCCACCGCCGCCTCTGCCGCCGCCACATCCTCCTCCGCCTGCTCCTTCTCCAGGCGCAGGCGGCGCTCCTGGGCCGCCCGCCGCCGCTGCCACTGCTCCAGCTTCTCCTGGTGCGCCCTTTCCACCCATTTGGCCTCCTCCTCCTGCGCTGCTTTCTTCATCTTGAGCTGCAGGGGAGCCGTGGTGGAGAGGGAGGAAGGGTGGCAAGGGAGGCGGCCGGTGGTCAGGCCGGTGGTCAGGGTGTCTGGGCAGGGAGCACAGGGGTCGGAAAGGGAGCCACACGGCTGCCAGGCTATCTGGAAGCAGCAGACGACCAGCGTCCGCCCACACAGGAGCCCAGCTGCCCGCGGATCCCCTGGAGGCCACCCACCCACCCTCATGGCAATGATGGCGTCCTCGCTCTGCCGCTCGCGGCGGTTGACGCGGAAGCCCATGAGCGCGGCGGCGTGCTGCACCTCGCGCCCTTGCGCCTTGGCCGCCACCACCTGGCTGGCGGAGGGCATGTCTCGCCAGGTCTGGATGGCGTTGAACACCTGGTACTCCAGGCTGTCCAGCTCAGCCCGGTCCGCGCCGGCAGTGTCCAGCGGGAACTGCGGTGCATTGAGGTGCCCGTTGCCGGGTGGGTGTGGTGGGTGGGTGTGGTGGGGGTGGTGTGTGAGGCGAGGCACTCGGACGGCGGCGTGTGCATGTGGGTTGGGTTTTGGAGGCAGGGCGGGACGGAGAGGCAGGCGTGTGCGTGTGCGTGTGGTGTGGTGTGGGGGGGCACCAGCACCGAACTGGCGTGCTGTGTACTGCCCCACTCACGTGCCCCCTGATGTACTGCTCCAGGATCATGCGCGGCGCCGACACCAGGTCGTCAAAGTTGTTGCCGCTCGTCTCCTTGAGCAGGTCGGTGTTGGCCTCGCCTGCAGGGAGGGCAGAGGAGGGGGAGGATGGTTTCGTGATGGCAGTGGCAGGGAGGTGCAAAGGGGAGGGCTGGGTGAGGGCAGTGGGCAGGGCACTTGTGCTGGAAGATGGCCGTGAGGCGGGCGCCGCACCTGTGCTCTGCAGGCCGATGACCACCGCCATTCCGTTCTGCATCGCCTCCTTGGCCATGAGGGCGCACGCAGGCACCTTGCTGGCCTGCGGGGCAGAGGGGGAGGGGAGGATTGAGAAGATGAGGAGATGGAGAAGGAGGGCGGTCAGCGTGGCCTCCGCCGCCGCCTGCACGCGCACCATGAGCAGCTGCTTCCAGAAGCGCTGGTTGGCGGACCAGAAGACGCCCTGCAGCTTCTTGAGGCGAGGGTGGCACTGCACAATCTTCCTGCACAACACAGGCGCCGGGNGGGGGGGGGGGGGGGGGGGGGGGGGGGGG